TATTTTTGTTAAAAACATATTAACGTATACTCTTAAAGTATATTGATGTTATTGCCCTTTTGTCGGAGTAGTATTCATTTAGAATACTCCAGGCTACATAAAAATTCTCATCCTTTGATGGCAATTTTGAAATCTTTTTTGCCGCTTCTCCTGACAACTTCGCTTTTAACATACACATTTTTTGAGTATTTGACACAGGCTGATCTATTATCAGCTGCTCAAACAACTCTCTAAATGTGTCCCATTCCGTAGCTTTTCCAGTTGGTATGTCTATAGTGGGTAGCTGGAATGGTAATGTTTTTGCATAGCTTTCTATGCCCGGGATATTTTGGTATTCGTCACGTAAATTGTAGAAAATGTCAGTCAATTCGTCATCTGGAAATTCGCCCATATATTTAATAAAATGATTTTCGGCTAATTTAAATTTTTCTTTCAGGATGTCAATCGTGACTTCCTTATTTTTAAATTTATTCAATTTAGCTTCCAAATCATCTAAAATATTTTGGAATTGCCGTATCAGTCCAGCATTTTTATTTCTAACAGAGGTTTTTTCCACATCACCTCTGCTAGAATTTATTATAACTTGCTCCCTTTGCCACATTGGGTCAGTAAGATCCTTTTGTAACACTGGTGCCGTAGGTTCTTTTAGCGATAATGGTACCGTAGTCTTCTTTTGGCACACTAGATCAATACGATCCCCTTGTGCCAGTTGAGCTGTGGGTTGTCTTTGTCTATCCATTGTAGTATCGTCTTGTTCTTTATTCGATGATGTCAAAAGATTTTCTTCCTCAATGAATCTGTTTTTTAATTGCCCATACAAAGCATTAAAATTATTTATTGTGGCCCTCACTTCATCAACAAAATTACCTTTAAAATAGGCATTTCTTTGCATTGTTGAGGAAGGAGGGCGGAGATCCCTATCATTTTTGTCGAAACTTTCGACATATTTCCTAAACACTTGTCTCAATGTTATAACTTTAATTTTTGCTTCCTCGCTAGGAAGATTACTTTGAGCGACCTTGCTCAAAGAGTTATAACATGAGACAATCTCAGTCTCTAATCAGAAAACATTCTGATCATAAATTATGCATTTAATGTATGGTCATAAAACAACCCACATTAACAATGCTTGTACATTTGTTGCATCCACCAGTCTATGCTCTGATCGTGTGTTCGTTTCACATAAACATTTACGATCAAGCATATGACATGACGCATTAAACATAAAAACTATTTTATTGATTTGGGCAAATACATAAAACTTCTAATTTATTGATAAGTTTTATTACCCGTATAATAAAACACGCATTTCTATTCCACATGCATAGTTTTCTATTTTAAATATAAAAATTCAATCTACAAGATTGAACAAACTGTAAGTCCCTTTCTAGATTCTACAGGTGTTATGAGAATAAACGGTCGCTTATCAAACTCTCTATCGCTAACTTACGATGAAAGATTACCGGTTTTACTCCCCTATCTTGCATCTTATACTAGGCTTTTCTTAACATACCTACATAAATATTCACTCCATGGTCAGAATGCTCTCATGTACCGATTAATGCGACTCTACTATTATCTGATTAAGACTATCCTCTCCCAATGTTGACCATGCGTTATTCAAAAACGACAGAAAAGCCAACAAATAATGGCGGCCTTACCCCCCGAAAGGACCACACTCTCACGTCCATTCACCAATACTGGTGTCGATTTCGCTGGTCCTTTCGACATCAAAACGCATGCAGGTCGTGGATGTAAAGTTACTAAGGGTTACGTGTTAGTTTTTGTCTGTTTCGGTACTAAAGCTATCCACCTCGAGGGTACAAGTGAAATTTCAACTCAGGGTTTCTTAGCAGCGTTTGCTCGCTTCTTCTCTCGTCGTGGTTCTCCAAGTGCTATGTACTCGGATAATGGCACAGCTTTTTTTTTATTTATTTATTTATTTATTTTAGTCTATGGAAATATTCCTTACAGACTATTTAACAATTTATAAAATTATTTAAATTTAAACATAGAATAACGTTAATTATTTAGATTATATAATATATTTCTTTTTATAACATCAACATTTAAAGAAAAATCAACAAAGTTAAACATTTCGTTAAAACAGCAACATAACTTTCTAAACGGATCTGCCATAGCGAAATTTGTTCGAAACGTTTTGACGTATAATGGATTATTAAATCGTAATTGACGTTGAGGAACATTTAAAGAAATTTTACTTAATAGAAATTCAGAACATACAGTTCCATTTAGAAGATTTATCATAAATGACACATTAAGCATTGTCCTGCGACTTTTCAGTGTTGGTAGATTTATCAAAGCAAGTCTTGCTGCATACGGTGGCAGTTCAGAATAGTTCCCATATATGCTCTTTAAGCAAAATAATAAAAATTGTTTTTGCACAGATTCAATATGATCAATATGCACATTGTAATACGGGTCCCATGCGACTGATCCATATTCCAATATCGGCCGTACAAGAGAAGCAAATAGTCGTTTAGTTATAAATAGATCATTAAATTCTTTTGACCATCGTTTAATGAAGGCTAAAATGCTACGGGCTTTATTAACAATCATTGTTATATGTTGAACAAAAGTCAATTTTGCATCCAGCAAAATTCCGAGATCCAGAATGGTGTCAACAGAATGCAATTTGGAGCCATTAATGGTGTAAAAAATGCTAGTATCAAATTTTCTTGAAAAATGTATGTGTTTGCACTTTGTTAAGTTTAAATCCATTAAATTTTGCTTACACCAGACGTAGAAATTATCTAAGTCGTTCTGAAGGTAAATACGATCTGATGGATGTTTAAAGCTTGAAAATATTTTTACATCATCCGCAAACATTAATATTTTAGAATATTTGATAGCTTTTGGCATATCGTTGATGAAGATTAAGAACAAAATTGGGCCAAGATGACTTCCTTGAGGAACACCAGATGTAACCAAAAAAGTTTTGGAGGTTGACGTTTTAAATTTTACGGATTGTTTTCTAAATAATAGATACGATTTAAACCAGCTTAGATAACTATCGTTAAATCCTAAAGCATCCATTTTTTTTAGCAAGAGTAGGTGATTTACTTTGTCAAAAGCTTTGCTAAAATCGGTGTAAATAACATCGGTATGTTGACCATTAACAAATCCTTCATTAACTAAAGTTGTTAGCTGTAGAATATTTGTCATAGCAGAGAATCCTTTGCGAAAACCATGTTGAAGGGGTGTCAATAGGGGAGAAACTTGGTGAACCAGTGAATCGGTTATACATTTTTCGAACAGCTTTGGGATTGCGCTAAGTTTAGCTATGCCTCTGTAGTTCATTACATTTGATTTGTTTCCAGACTTAAATAGAGGGATTATAAAAGATTTTTTCCAAATTCTAGGAAAATAACCATATTTTAACGATTTATTAAACAAAATGGATAAAGGAAATGCCAGAGAATGTGCGCAATTTATTAATATGCAGCTTGGTATACCATCCGGACCATATGCGAATGATGATTTAAAACTTTTTAAACATTTAACGATGTAGGTAGTATCAATTAAACATGATGAAATTTGTTGATTTGACTGAATATTAAGTGGATGCATAGTGCTATCATCGTATTGGGAATTAGAGTAAGTAGTGGCAAAATAATCCGCGAATAAATTGCTGATTTCCGACTCATTACTAGACTCATTATTTAAATACTTCATAACTTTCGGGGTCTCGCATGTTTTCCTTTTTGAATTAACAAAAGTGAAAAATGATCGAGGATCCTGTTCAAAATTTCGTTTCATCTTATATAAATAATTATTGTATAATTTAACATTCAGCAAGTTATATTTCGCCCTGAGGAGAGAGTATTTAGTATAATCAAGAGCCGTGCCAGATTTTTTGTATTTCTTATAGAGTTTGTTTTTCATATTTTTTAAGGAAGATAATTCTTTAGAAGACCAGGGTGGGCCTGATTTTGGATTAGGTATACTTTTCGGGATACACTCACTCATATATTGATACAAGGTTTCATAAAACTTTCCAATAATTTTATCAATAGAATTTGGCAGACCGTTTGGAGTAGATAACAATTTAAGCCAATTTGTATTTTTTAGAAGGTTGTTAAATTCAACGTAGTTAGCTCGTTTAAAACAAAATAGTGTATCTTTTTTGACAGTGTTTTTATCATTGTGAGTATAAGTATTCTGGATGTTGCAGCTTATTTCAATTGTGGGATGGTAACGATCTTCGGGTAGTGTAAGTGGTTCAACACGATTTATTGTACATTCATTGGGTTCATTTACAAATACCAGATCTAACAGTTTACCAAAAATATTGTAAATTCCGTTAATTTGATAAAGACATAATTTTGAGAAATTATTAAAAATATCATCACTGATATCATCCGATCTTATGGGTACATAATTATTATATTCAGTGGAATATTGCCATGCTATTTGTGGTAAGTTAAAATCACCAAGAACAAACATTAAATCATTAGTATTAGTTTTAAGAGACACCATTTTTATTGCATCAATGTGTTGTTGATAGATTGATAAGTCTGATTGAGGAGGTATGTATGAACATGTAATGAAGACTTTTATGGAGTTAAGTTTTATTATCACTGCAATAAACTCAATATTAGAGGGTAAATTAATTTTTATTTCTTCGGCTGAAAATTTATTAGAGATAGCTATTAATACTCCACCACCAGTTGTTACTGTAAATCTATCTCGTCGATAAACTTGAAAATTGTCACATATTATTTCTGAGTTTAGAAAGGTATTATTTAGCCAAGTCTCAGTAAAGCAGAACACATGATGGTTGAAACCAAAGCTATCTTGATAAAGCTTAGACGATTTGGTTTTTAATCCACGCACATTTTGATATATAATATAAAGTTGGTTATCAATAATTTTAATCAGTTTTTTTGGTTCATTACTTGACGAGGTGGAAGGTGTGCAATATTATTTGACCGTTGATTGTATTCGTATTCCCGAACTAGAACGTGGTTTGGCCAGAATTACGCATTAACTACACAGTTAAAAATATCAAACGGAACAGTAATCTTGAAAGATGTTATACTCCTTGCTTGCGAATAATTAAATTTGTAAACACTAATATCAGCATCTTGATTGAGTTTGGATTTTATGTAATAATTTATGTCTTCGGCAGAAGTATCAAATGCAAAACGGGATATGAAGATATGTTTTTTCGGTGGAATAACTCTCAATTCTCTATTAACAATAGGATTTATTCCGTTATTCGTAACAACTTCAGCATAGTTTAGATTATGTTGGTTTAATTGATTGGATGTATCAGAAATAACAGGAGCAGGATTATTATGTATAGATGAAGCAGCATCAATTTCGGAGCCATAGATAACATTAGCGTTTGGGATTTGTATTAATGATGAACCGAAGGGATTTGCAACAGTGGGTTTAACAGCAGAAGGTGTAACAGCAGAGCGTGTAACAGCAGGACGTGTAGTAGCAGAAGTAGTGGCTATATCAGGGTTGTTTTGTTGAGCTGGACTATTATTATCAGTTTGAGGGTCGTCTTGTTTCTCTTTGATTTTCCTTGACGATTTTCGCCTTTTAGGGGAAGATTGAGCAGGAGATTTTAAAGTATCTAAAGAATTAAAATCTTCGAAAAGTTTCCCATACTTAGAGATTCGGTCAGATAGTTTAGCAACTTCGTCTTGAATTTCCATAAAATGGGTTTTGGTTCCTTGAAAAAAACGGTAAAAACTAACACCAATTTTTCTACAGGCAGTACAGCACCAATGAAGTCCATTATGTTTTAAAAGAGATTCCGCAACAAGGACAGGTAGCCCACTGCACTTAAAATGGCAGAGACCATGACATAGCCAACAGATTATCATCCTCTCTTCATCACTAGTAATGGTACAGTTTTTATTTAGACAGTTCATGATAATAATTATAATCGAATGTTTCGTTGGGTTATTAAAATATAGAATCAAGAAAAATCCAATAGATGGCGGTAATAAAATTACTTAGTGAAGTCACAAACCAATATTGGTTGTATTTAAACGTAAGTGAATGTAATTAAGATCAGATGTTTCAACGTTGTAAAAAATATTACTATATGTAGTTTAATGAGATCAGATGTTAAAGAGATGCAAAATATTGTATGTTGTAGATGATTTATGTATATTACAAAAACAAAATATATTAATTTAACTTTTTTATAAGAATTTTACTATTATTTAGTGTGGCTCTTGCACTGCTTTCAATGTCACTAATATTTCACAATCGTATAATTTCAAATCAGTTGAACAAGACAATTTTAATAATCAGTAAACAACTTAATTTTGAGTTTATATAAAGAGCGATCCAAAAACACGTCCGAACAATTTTATTAAGGTAGCTTGTCGGCGCTTCCAATATCTTAGACTCGGAAAAATAGCAATTCCTCCTCTTTAGACTGGGCGGTCTTTGGGAAGCAGGGGTAAAGAGTTTTAAACTGCATCTCAAGCGAATCTGTCATAGTCAGAGTTTTACGTACGAAGAATTCTCCACTATGCTAGCCCGCATTGAAGCCTGTCGAGACCGCTCAGTCCTCTAAGCGATAATCTAGACGACTTGTGCGCACTGACCCCTGGACATTTCTTAATTGGAAATGCACTTTTATCACCCCCAGAACCAGACTTGTCTGATCATTCACTAAGCTATGTGAATCGCTGGCAAAAATTGAAGATTTTGCACCACCACTTAGCCCAGAGATGGAAGGAGGAGTATCTAAATGATACTCCAAATGGAAGTTTCCTCAGCGTGATTACGCTATCGGCGATCTAGTCATTATAAGACAAGAAAATTTACCCCCTAACCAATGGCGCCTTGGCCGTGTCGAAAACGTAGTTCGCTGAACTAAATGCTGTTTGCTTTTATTCTAAAAATAAAATTAAAAAAAAAACTTCTTTTATCTCTAGTTTTAAATTAACTATGTAAATTTTTTTTTACTATTCTGCAATATTTTATTATTACTGCAATATGTTATACTTATGTGCACAAGGGTATTTTTCGATATCTTAATTGGTTAGGATTTAGCAAAAGTACCTATGAGTTTTCCACATATTAAATGAGTTGATTTAAATCATAACAACACCGTAATATTATTTTATTTACACTAGTCAATCTAACACCGTGTATAATGAATCCTCTCTCTCCTTTTGGTGGATCCATGAACTTAAAATCACTTTTTTGGTCGATTCAAACTCGTCCGTCCTTCCTTTAATATTTCTATTGGAACTTTTTATGTAAAGAACTGGCGATAATTATATGAAAAAACGAAGTAGGCTGTATTTCGCATTTCGATTTTTATGGAATTTGGTGGGAATAGTCTACGTACTTAGTAGGGTTCTATAAATCGACTTTTTGTCGAAGAAAGTCGAAAAGTCGAAGTCGACTATTTTGTTCCAAAAAAGTCGATAACTCGACTATCGTCTGTGAAAAAAGTCGACTTTGTGAATAAAAGTCGAAAAGTCTGAAAGTCGAAAAGTCGAAAAAAGTCGATAAGTCGAAAAAAGTCGAATAAAGTCGAAAAAAGTCGAAGAAAGTCGAAAAAAGTCGAAAAGTCGTAAAAAGTCGAAAAGTCGAAAATTGTAGAAACAAGTCAAAAATAGTCAAAAATTTTAAAAAAGTAGAAAAAAAAGTCAAAAACTCTAAAATAGTCGGAAAAACTTGAAAAAAAGTTAAAAAATAGTCGGAAAAAAGTAGAAAGAAGTCGAAAATAGACAAAAAGTCGAAAAAGTCGAAAAAAGTCGAAAAAGTCGAAAAAGTCGAAAAGTCGAAAAAAGTCGAAAAGTCGGAAAAAGTCGAAAAGTCGACTATTTATAAAATACTTATAGTCGAAAAGTCTAAAAGTCGACTTTTATTTAAATAAAATGCAAAAAGTCGAAAAGTCGACTTTTCTTTTCAACTATAGAACCCTAGTACTTAGTAGATTATGTCCTCCAAATTAAATTAAAAATTTAAAGTATAATTGCAACTTCTATACCTATTTGAAATTTTGCATAAACAGATACTGTGCTAATTTGCCGAAATTCTAAGATAAATGATTTAATAAGAATTAGTAAAGTATTTTCTGCTAATTGATGCAAAAATAGTATCACAATATCTTTAAAGTATAAATCAACTGATATTTTAAAGTAACACGGCTAAGGAAAATTAAATTGTATTGTATACAAAAGTTGTAATAACATCTAAACTCGTACGACGAACAATAATCGCGATATATGCAGAGATTTGATACTCATGATAATTTGGGTTTAAGGGGTATATTTGACCAAATTATAATACCATGTAGCGAATGTTAGCATTACATTCATAACTTCAGCAATATTTGTAAACGTAATCTATCCAAGTTATCCGACAAATTGACCAAAATTTAGAATTTAAGACGGTAAAATAAAAACTAGTATACAACATCATCTAGAAAATGTAAATAAAGAACTAAAAGTCACCATGACTTTTAGTCACCATGACTTTTAGTTCTTTATTTACATTTTCTAGATGATGTTGTATACTAGTTTTTATTTTACAGTCTTAAATTCTAAATTTTGGTCAATTTGTCGGATAACTTGGATAGATTACGTTTACAAATATTGCTGAAGTTATGAATGTAATGCTAACATTCGCTACATGGTATTATAATTTGGTCAAATATACCCCTTAAACCCAAATTTCGAACGAAATCTCCAAATCTGTACATAAAATGGGAAGAATTTTATAATGGAGGAGTATTTTTGAATTGCGCTAAAACGCGTTAAAAACTCAGTTGTTTTTTAAAACATATATTAATTACATTTGTTAACGAATCCGCGAAGAGACATATATTTATTGTTGAAAACACGATAGAAACAAGATAGAAAACTGAAATATTTTGCCAAAATATTTTTAATTGACCCAGTTTGATTGGTATTGAAAATGCGAAATATCGGCCAACGATTTCCTATTCAGAAAATTACTATGTTGCTTAAAAAAGCATCCATAGCGATGAAATTCAATATGAAAAAGTTTTATTGGAAATGTATTTGTCAAAGTTTATGAGGATCGGTACATAATTGACTCTATCCCTCATAAAAAGTCTCCTCAGAAAATCACTTTAAAGCTCATAATGTACTGCAATATAGCAACAAAATTCAACATAATCAAGTTTTAAATGAACTAAACCGCTGCAGTAACACAGATCACTGTCGACAATGTGGTAGTAGGCATCACACCCTATTACATCGCCACGAGCGTTTATGGCAAAACCAGTCAGCTCTTGTTGGACAGACGTGCTCAAGTTTGAGGACTGTCACGTTGTTGCCTACGGTTGTGGTAAAACTTCAGTTAGGAGAAGAATGGGGAAACGTGAGAGGCCTACTTAACCCATGTGCTGAAGTAAGTTCTGTCGCAGAGTTCCTAATAGATCGCTACAAACTTCGAGTGGAAAAAATCGGATCCGATCTCTGGACTACAGTAAAGCTTCGACCTCGATTTTCTGAGAGTACGATATTGACCGTGACAGCAAAGATTGACAAAAAACTTCCTCGCAAACAGCCAACAGAGAAAATAGACGAAAGAGTTGCTTCTCTTTATACAAACCTTCGCCTCGCAGACAGAGATGCAACCATTTAGGTCGACGGCGCAACCATTTTAGGTCGACGGCGGCGGCTTATATTAGAAAATATCGGCGGCGGCTAAATTGCCGGCTCAATTTAACTTTTTCTTCAGAAATTGACCTTATAAGCGTTTATTATATTGAAAAATCTCTGTATAATAGTCTGTTATATAGAAACCTGTCTCTATATAAGTTTTTTCTGTAGAAAATGGACATTGTTATAGTAGTTATCACTATTTTAATATTAGCACAATATTGTGTGGCAACTCTTTTGAATTTGCCATAAGAATTTAAAATAGTGGCAACTCTGTTCAAATTGGTGAAATTATTTTCTGAAAGACATGTGCGATTCCAATTTTTATCAGCGGCTACGTTTAAGCCGGCCTAGCCTTTGAGCCGAAAGAAGTCGGCGGCGGCGCCGACTATGTTTATGTAGAGCATTTCCACAGCACTGATATTGCGACTATCTGTCTGTCTGTTGAAATCAGTTTTCTGAGGACCACAAATATCTTCGAGATCCAAATCTTCAATAATTCTATCAGACATGCTTTCGAGAAGTTTCCTATTCAAAATCAGCAAAATCCGTCCATTAACAACGGAGATATAAGCAAAAATCCGAGACAACCTCTAAAATTTTCATAAAAAATAAGCAACAACAACACTGCTTATTCATTGCGTTGTGTATTTTGTTTTTTTGATTATTTCGTTTCGTATGTTTGAATGGCTGTGTGTTTCATCGCCATGTGTATGTTGTTGTTGTTTCTTGGTGTATTCAGTTTCTTATTTTTGGATGGCTTTGTGTTTCATTGCTTTGTTTATATTGTTTTTGTTTCTTGGTGTATTCAGTTTCGTATGTTTGACTGTCTGTTGGTTTCATTGCGTTGTGTATTTTGTTTTTGTTTTTTTGTGCATTTCGTTTCGTATGTTTGGATGTCTGTTGGTTTTACTGCCTTGTGTATTTTGTTTTTTGTGTGCTTATTTCGTTTAGCGTTGTTGTTGTTTATTTTGTTTTGCTATAATAATAATATAGTCAGGAAAATGAAATAAATTTAAATTTTATAAAATTGCTATTTTTGAAATACACTATGGTGAAGGGTATATAAGATTCGGCACAGCCGAATATAGCACTCTTACTTGTTTCAACTTCTTTTATTTTAG